CTCCTTCCTTCCTTCCTCCCCATTCACTTTTCTTTCCTACCTTCCCCCCCCTCCCTCCCTCCCATCCATTCCCAACTCCCTTCTCGTTCCTCCTCTCTTTCCTCCCTTCCATCCTTCTCATTCCTCCCCTCCCCTCCCATTCCAACTCCTCCCCAGCGCGAGAGCCCCCTTCCCCGCTCCCTCCTCCGAGGTGCCAGGCGAGACGTGGCAGCGGAGCCGACCGACCGGCCGACCCCGGCCAGAGCCTCCCTCGCGCAGACCCTCCCGCCCTCCCGCCTTCCAGGCCAGCCCCGGGGGCGACGCCCGCGTCGGGCCCCTCCTTCTGGAGGCGTTGCCGGCCGTCGTTGGCTGCCGCGCCGGGCGGGGAGTGGCGGCGGCGCCCGTCAAGAGCCCCCGCGGCGGGCATCGCACGGAGCGCGGAGCTGCGGCGGCGGCGGCGGGACTGGCAAGGCCGGCTATGGCGAGGGGCGAGAGCACCAAGCGCGGCTGCGGGAAGCGCTGCGGGGCCGTGGCCGGGCTGGCCGGGCTGGGCTTGCTCTGCCTGGGCTTCGGGCTGCTGCTGCTGCAGACCGTGCCGGCCCTCTTGAGGCAGCAGGTGGCCAAGGTAAGGGGGCCGAGGGTGGGGGGGGGGGTGCCTTTCCCCCCCACCCCCCTCACCCCACCTCAGACAGACTGCCTCGAGGAGGGGAGGCTCGACCCCGCCTGCAGCGGGGCTCGCTCGGAGAGGGGCTCCCTGCAGTTAAGAGCTCTGAAAAAACGCTAATTTTGTTTTTAAAAAGACAACCTAATTGGGATTGAAGAGCTGCAAATTTTTTTCCCTTCCTGTCCGGTTCGTTATTTATCTTCCCTTTCCTTCCTTCCTTCCTTCCTTCCTTCCTTCCTTCCTTCCTTCCTTTCTTTCTTTCTTTCCTTCTTTCTTTCTTTCCTTCCTTCCTTCCTTCCTTTCTTTCTTTCTTTCCTTCTTTCTTTCCTTCCAGCCTTCTTTTCTTCCTCCCTTCTTTCTTTCCCCCCCCTCCCCCTCCCCCCCCTCCCTCTCCCTCCCTCCCTCCTTGGGTGGGGGTTGACTAGATGACCTACAAGATCCCTTCCAACTTTGTTAATGTGAATCTCTCTCTCTCTCTCTCTCTCTCTCTTTCTCTCCCCCAATTTCTTTCTCTGTCTCTCTTTCTTTTCCCGTCTCTTTCTCTCTCTCTCTTTCTCTCTTTGGCCTCTGTCTCTCTCTCCACCTTTTTTCTTTCTCTCCTTTTCTTTCTCTCTCTCTCTCCCTCCCTTTTTTTCTCCTAGTTCTTTCCTCTAAGTTCTTGTCCCGCCAGTCCTGCTAGTGAGGCTAGGGCGACTCTTTTGCAATCTGAGTTTGATTTATCCTTGGCTAAATAAACGTTTGTTTTTCTGTCTTTGCAAAGATGGGTAAAGCTGGTGCTTTGGCCAGCTAGTTAAGCTGCTTGCTTTCTTTCTTTCTTTCAGTCTCCTCCTTTCTTAAATTTAGGGATTTCTTTTTTTTTTTTTTAAAGTCAGTTCAGAGTCTGGAGGCTTCAAATGGAGACAAGACAACCACAAAAGCACCCACACACACCAGACACTCCCAAAACCTTTTCTCCAGTTGGAACTTACGCTTCTAATTGATGAAAATATTATTTTGTGCACTTGTGGGCATGCCTGAGACAGGATGCATAGCAGCACAAATCAGAATAGAGCTGGAAGAGACCTTGGAGGTCTTCTAGTCCGGCCCCCTGTTCAAGCAGAAGACCCTGTACCGTTTCAGATAAATGGTTCTCCAATCTCTTCTTCAAGACCTCCAGTGATGAAGCCCAACTTCTAGAGGCAAGTTGTTCCACTGGTTTATTGTTCTCACTGTCAGGAAATTCCTCCTTAATTCCAAGTTGCTGCTCTCCTTAATTTGCTTTGGAAAATAGCTTGACCCTCTCCTCTTTCGGGCAGCCCCTCAAATATTGTAACACTGTTATTATGTCCCCGCCAGTCCTTCTTTTCTCTAGATTGGCCATAACCAATTATTTTACGCATAAGGACTGCAGGTGGACAAAGGGAAAGAAAAGAAAAAAGAAAAAAAAAGAAAAAAAAACACCTTTGCAATTGTGTGGCACCCAAATTTACAACCTATTTGCCTTGGTGGTTCCATGAATTACTGAAGCTGTTATGCTGCTACAGTCATAAGTGCGAGGACCAATTCGTCAGCCACTTTTTTTTCCCCCAGTGCCGCTGTAACTTAAGTGGTCTCCAAAACAGTCTTAAATTGAGGACTAGCCTCCCCATCAGAATCATTGCTGAACCCCATGGAATTGCATGCAAGAAATAGCAAGCTTTGTCCAAGTTCTGTTGTTTAGTTTTTCCAGGCAGAATTGGAAAGGAGTCGGACTTTGTTTTCCACACCCAGCTCTCTTGAAATCCACTTTCTCCCGTTCTCCCTCCCTGTTTCTTGTCATTCCTGTTGGAAACACAATATCTGTGTGTTTGTTACAGTGCTTTGTTGTTGTTGTTTTGGGGGGGGGGGTTGCTGGAGCAACCAAAAAATTAAATTCAGACTTCAAGACAGAGGAAGGAAATCTTGCTCGCGCGTTCCAAGGGCTTCTAAACTAAGATTTATTATTTTATTTTTTTGGTCTCTTCTCTCTGCTGGATTTTGTAGGTTACGGAAGGATTTAATGTACACCAGTTTTCATCTACAGCAAGCAACAGATTGAATAAATAAAGGCAGGACAAACCCATTCATGAGGCTTCTGTGCTTTAACATTTATTAAGCAAGTCTTCCTCTGCAGGCAATGCAACCTTCCTCTTAAATTTACAAAATCTGAAGTGTTCCAGTTGGCAATACACAATCCATAACAAAAGAAAGTATAATTAAAGCACTTACCGCCCCACCCTTCTCCTTTGATCCCATTCCTCTCTCAGCTAAGAGCTGTGATTCTTAACCCCTGCCGCCATTCAAGTGTACGTTACCTGCAGCGATTGAATAATTTGCAAACATTAAAGCACACAGTTCAAGAAACCTTGGGAATAAATCCAGGTTTTTCCCTCCCTCCTCTGCAGCCTGGGTTTTAAGGCATTTTGACAGCTTATAGTTAGAATAATAATAACAGAATTGGGTGGGACTTTGTAGGTCATCTAGTCCAACCCCTCCTGCTCAACGCCTCCCCAAGGCCATTCCTGACAGATGGCAGTCCAGTCTGTCCTTGAAACAGGGCGGATTTGATTTAAATCCAGTAGGTTTAAATCATGATTTAACACATGATTTAAATCATGATTTAAATCAGTAGTAGAAAGACTTGATTTAAATCCCCTCGATTTAAATTATAATTTTTAAAGAGCCACTGTCATCTCTGTCCTGCAGCAGCTCCTCCTCTGACCTGCTGTTGACTCACCGACAGTCCCATTGCTTTTAATGGGATGGCTGGTAATGCGCCAGGGACACAAGGTGAGGGACGTGATAGGCAGCAGGTGAGTGGATGCCCACTAACAGGCGCTGCCACGATGGATCTGAAATGACAGGTGCCCTTTAATATTACATTTATAAGTTCCTTAGAAGGCCTCCCTTTCGTTTTTTTACTGCTTGCTTCTCCTCCTCACGCTTAGAGCCTGGTGGCACAGATGCATTTTTCTTCAGTGTACACAGATTTGCAAAACAAGGGGATAAAGGAATATTCCTGAGCGGTGTTTTATGATTCATCTCGCGTTACTGTGAAATTGCGTGAAGGCGTCCATGCAGGGCATGTTATCTCAGCTTGCAGAGCTTGGATTCATGGAATGAGTTTACCCCCACCCCCCAAAAGTAAATATTGCAGAATACATGCACTCACATAACTAAGCTCCCTTTCATGCTGAATAAACTAAATTACGAGTGTATCTTAAATGGAAAACTATCTTTAGATAGATTTTTACTCCAAAAGTATTTTATTAAAATTAATTGGATAAAATTTAAAAAAAAAATCTGATTTAAATTTAAAAAATTCAATTTAAATTTTAAAAATCTGATTGTTGTTTTTTTAAATTAATCATTTATTTTTGTCCGCTCTATCTTGAAAGCTTCCAGTGATGAAGCTCCCATAACATTTGAAAGCAAGCCTTCCATTGATGGGTTGGTTGGTTGGTTGGTTGGTTAGTTGGTTCAGCTTTTTTCTTCTGGTGGTTGGAAAAGTTATCCTTTAACTTTGGCGTCTGAGTTTTTCATGAGCAGTCACGGTCTTTATCACTCTTCTCCTTTGTCAACAAAGCTAGACTCAGTTGCTCAGACTTTGTGCTATGCTTATCATGTATGGCTGTCCCTTTGTCCGAAAGGAATACACCTGTACAAATAGCAGGAGGGTGTTGACCTTAGTGGCCACAGCAGCACATCTTTCTCTGATATCACTCCTTCGAGGAAAGCCAGATCATGGAAAAGTCACCGCTAGGATTACCTGGAACTCTTGTCGCAGGTTATAATAACAGAATCTTGAAAGGAAGCCAAGATATTCCCTCTGCCTACCCAAGAAGATCAGTCTTGAGTTTCTTCCTCACCTGTTCTTCCTAAGCTGGTGTTTATCCAACAATGGTTGAAACTTTTTTCTCGAGGTCACCCCCATGCTTCTGTTCATTGGGGGACTTAATCCTTCGGCCTCCTTTGGCTGAGTTGGAAGGGACCTTGTAGGTCATCTAGTCCAATCCCTCGCCCAGCAGACCCTACACCATTTCTGACAAATGGCAGTCCAGTCTCTTCTTGAAAGCTTCCAGGGATGAAGCTCCCACAATTTCCGAAGGCAACTTCTGTTCCATGGGTTGATTACTCTCACGGTCAGAAAGTTTCTCCTTATTTCCAGGTTAAATCTCTCCTTGATCAGTTTCCATCCATTATTCCTTGTCCGGGTGCCTTGGAAAATAGCTCGACCGTCTCCTCTCTGTGGCAGCCCCTCAAATATTGGCAGACTGTTGTCTTGTCTCCCCTGGTCCTTCTCTTCATTAGACTAGCCAGGCCCAGTTCCTGCAACCATTCATCATATGTTTTAGTCTCCAGTCCCCTCATCATCCTGGTTGCTCTTCTCTGCACTCTTTCTAGAGTCTCAACATCTTTTTTATAGTGTGGTGACCAAAACTGGATGCCGTACTCTTGGTGTGGCCTTACTAAGGCTTTACAGAGCAGTATTAGTACCTCTCTTGATCTTGATTGTATCCTTCTGTTAATGCATTTTAGGATTGCATTGGCTTTTTTGGCTGCTGCCACACATTGCTGGCTCATATTTAACTGGTTGTCTACCAAGACTCCAAGATCCCTCTCACAGTTCCTGCTATTAAGCCTGGTTTCCCCCAGTCTATATGTGTACTTTTGGTTTTTCTTGCCTGAGTGTAAGCTTTTCTCTACATTGAATTTCATTTTTGGTTCTGGGGTACTATCTGAATGAAATCATTTCCCTAGATGAAAAGTCCCCTCCCCCCGTCAAAATAGTTAATTCTGCCATCTCTCCTTGGTAATGGGGCAATTCCAGATACTTGGATGAGGCAGAATGGAGATTTTTTTTTCTTTCCCAAAAATGTGTGGGCTCCAGTTGCCCAGCCGTCCCCTTTAATCTGAATTCTCCAAGTGAAAGGATTGGGAATCCGATTCTTATTTGCAAAAGA